GCGCTCAGCATTATCAATGCAAAGACAACTTATGACTATTCCATCTTTTTCTCCATGTTATATTTTGTTCTGGTAAGCAAAAAGGTGTGGGAAAATATGGAAGGATTCCAGATGGGAGAAAGCTGTGTCTTGCTCCATAACTTTTGGCTAATTAGGAAGCAGGATTTTAAAATAAGAGTCTTCTGGAATTGCTTGCATTTCATTCTGTTACAGAAAGGTAGACTCGAGTTGCTTACCCAGGGCAGTTTTCAGTCTGTTTCCACTCTGCAACCTCTCAAAAACCAGTTTAAAGCTAACATCTAATAGATTTATTTCTCTTGGCCTTAAAACGCTAAGAACAGGCAAGGAGCACCATAAGCCAATCAGTTCTCTCTCCAGCTGACCAACAGGAGAGTTCAAAAACAACGATCCAAGCACTACCCATGATCTCAGCTACATGGAGAAACAAATATTCCCCCATTAAGTTCTTGGTGTTCTCTGAGCTGGGCTGTTTTCTTGCAGATGTTTCATTGCCAGGCTAGGTAACATCATCAGTGCAGGAAGAGTGGGGTTTGCACCTGATAAACAGTCAAGGAAAAACAATACCCTAATCAAGGAACCATTGGAAAGGTAGTCATACTTCTACCAAGCCGTACTTCTACCAAGCCTAGCAAGGTATTATAAGCAGCCAGTAAACCCCTCTCCCCCTCACACTTAGCCTGGCAATGAAACATCTGTAAGAAAACAACCAAGCTCAGCAGCAAGAACCTAATGGTTCAACCCTAAGTTGCACATATTCTCTTCTTTTGGAAAAACATTTCCTTATTCTACAAAATGTTTGCAATAGTAGTTTTCACAATAGCTGTGCCCATGCTTTTATATTGCAATGTGTGTGTGTATTTGTATTTGTATCTGAAAGACAGCAATCACTCATTTGAGGCAGGAGACCAGGCTGCTTATAAAAAACTGGTAAAATCAAGCTGAGTAGGGTTGGGTGTTTTTTTTTGTACAGGGACAGTAAAACTGATTAGGATTATGACCAGATTTACTGTTAAAGTTGTCTTCCCTAGCACAATTCATTTTCAGCAGATATTGATTGCACCCAGAAGCTGGGAGGCATGGTGAGGAAGAGGAAAAGCAGCAGAAAAAACAGGCTATCCAGAACCTCTAGCACTACAAAACAGAATATTCAGTTTTGCTCTAGTTTGAGGTTAATCAATGTGGAGCCAGAAAAATGCTGGCTTAGCTCTTGAAATGACCCCATGTCATGGGAATAGGCAGGCCCAGCCTGAGTTGGGAGCAGTGTAAAGAGGGCATATAAAGAAGCCATAAGCTTCAGATGGCCATTTTATCAGTTACATGCACCATATATTTAACTTACTGTTTGTAAATGAATATCTCCATATATTCATTCAGTATATGAATGGATACTTCAATAGAGATCCTTTGGAGCATGTGGAAGCACCTCTTTTTGGATTGTTAAAGCAGCTGCACCTTTTCCAGGCTGATGCTCTGCTTCCACGTCCAGTCATTTTGGTAAGCCCACACTTCTTTTTATTCCCGCAGAGACACAGCCAGGAGTAGCTCCCAAAATTGCATCCTGAGCCGGAAAGAAGGCACAGCTATTCTAATGATCAGACAAGGGATGCCTCACATGTGCTCCTGCACATTCTGAAGGATTTGCTTGGCCCTATTCTTCATTACTAACTGAAACATTCTCAGTCCATCCTCCACACCAGAGCAGACTATTTCACAAACTGCTTGCAATTCTCAGCCATTTCTGAGAAGCAAACTTCATCCCAAACATCTCCTTAATCCACAAACTCAGCCTATTTTTCCCATCTCCTAGAAGAGAAATAAAAGAACAGCTAGGAAGAGATGCAAGGGCCAGCTGGCTGCATACTTTAATTGAAACAAAAGCATTAAACTGCTGGACAGAGTGTACGTGAAATAATAGAACTGAAATGCAGTTATGATTGTGGGTACCTAAACTGGAATTATTAGCAATACAACAGTGTCATGCATGCTTTAAATCTACACACGGCATATCTATCTACTCTCTGTGCCTGAACTCAGGCAAGTGTATTGCAATTAATTGCTTAGTTAATTGGTTATAGACTGTAATAAGCTGTAAGCACCTGAGTTCTGATCTGCTGTGATGGCTTAGATTTTTTCTCCTCTCTTCCCTTTCCAATACAAGGGCGGTAGCAGATATCCTTTAAACACACATTTAATGAAACCATTCATAAATCCATCAACACTAGAAACTACAATGAAGCTTACATGGTCACCAGCTTTTGTGGAAAGTCTGTAAAGGATCTTGAGAATGATACATCACTGTGTTATGTGGTCTTGGGAAAATACCAGCAAAGATAGGAGTTTGAGAGGAGATATTCTCCACAATAGAAGAGAGGGAGATGGCTGGGCAGAGAAAGTTCTCCCTTAGATTTGGGTAAGGAAGAGTAACATTTCCTTTTTGCTTCAGTATAATAAGCATTCAAGTCACATGTCCTCTAAAAAGTAGGGTTGGAAACTTATGCTTCCAGCTGTTACAGGAAAAAGAAATGCATGTTCATTTCTGGTCAGTGCTAGAAGACTTCATTCTATTTGTTGCACATACTGTAATTTGTATTCATTTACTCGGTAATAGCTTGTCCTCTATTCATCTGGGCACAAAAGTTCATTTATGTTTTATTAAAGATTATGCCAAGTTTCTCCAAGGCAGACCACCCTCCTTTTTTACTGGCCCTTTCCAAAAAGTTCCTACCAATGGTTCTGGGAGGCTTTTTAGATTGTCTTTGCCATGCAGAGAACAATTCTCGGGGCAAGGACTTCCTTCTTTCCTTTAAAATGGGGTTATTTTAAGGGTCTTTGGATGATCAGGTTGGAAAGATTGAAGGTGATCTGAAGTTGAATTTCTATAAGAGAGAATTACAGCTGATTCCAGGGCCTGGATTCAGAGTTTGATAGAGATGCCTGATCTGCAGTTTGGGAGCTCTCTTGAATCCAGCACTGATGCTGGACAACTGCATGACACTGGTGTTAATAAACAGGCTTTTATCAACTTTGGCTGATTGGCATCAGTGTGACATGAGCTCGTAATCTCAGCCATTCTTTATAGAGTGGCCTTGCTGACAACCTGACCTCGAATGGGGCAGCGCTAGTGGTAAATGGAGTCCCACATCACCATGTTTTGCGGCATCATCATACCAAAAAGCATGATAACGCATGCACAATCACAGCATCACACAAATGTCACCCTTGTACACTTGTGTCCCAATGTCCGATAAAAGTATGTCAATTGTGGCATTTGCATGACAATGTAGTCATGCATGTTTCATCATCTGCTCTCTCCCCAATAACATCATCCCGCTGCTGAAAATTTCAAACAAAATTCAAGGCACTCATTATGATGGATAAAGCTTTAATAGCTTGGGATCAAATTCTGTGCAAGACTGTCTATGACTGGAAAGTCCAACCCATGTTGCTAGACCTTAATGAGGTATCTTTGCAGCTCCTGCCGGAAATTCATTTAACATCAACAGCTAATTCTGCCTTTTCATGGTGGGATCCAGGCTGTGGACCTGAGGCTGTCCCCTCCTTGTTACACTTTAGGAGGAAGCTTAGAACATTTGTAATGCCGTTTACATATTTTAGTTGAGTTTTGATTATTTATATTGGGTGTAAATATTTGTAAACCACATAGAGTCACAAATGAGAATGGCAGCGTATAAATTTGAAGATTTTTTTTTTTAAATGCATGTAGCACAGCATTAGAACTTTCTCTACTGAAATGGATATGATCATGTAACAAAAATGAAGGTTTAGATGCATCATGTGAAAAAAGTCATCCCAGATTTATTCTCATATCAACAGAAATGCATCAGTAGATAGTCCAAATAAAAAAACAAAATATAACCCTACAGAGAATTGCTTAAACCGTCCAAACATTCACAATGCAGAGAGAGACATTATTCTTGGGATGCACCATCAGGATGTTCCATGTAACAAGATCCATTTTACAGTGTAAACAGGTTGTGTTCTTACTTTACAAAGTCCAGATGGAAAGGCACAACTTGGTGAAAACTGATCCTAAGCAAATAATAATAATTAAAAAATATAACTGGAGACACACACACATACAATAGTACAGGTGCAACCATATTACACACATCATTTTGTTTTTTTAAAAAAATATTATTATTATTATTATTACTACATCCACATTGTTTCACAGGCCTTCTGCATGAGCAAAGCTGGACTTTGAAGTTGGAAAAAGCCACATTTCTATTCAAGTCCTCTTAATACCAAATCTTAGTTCAGTTTTCCAATGCAGCTAACACACAGGCAGATCCTGCTGATGAAAAGAGAACGGAGGTGGCCAGTGGATGGGAGACTAAACACGACTCTCCCCCTTCCATGACACACACCTCCAAACATATTCAGATATCCCTAGAAGCATATCTTATTTTGGTTCAAATAGTGCACAGTAGTCTCTGTTTGGATCTCAAGTTCGACACAGTGGTTATTGTATAGAAAAATAGAACTTAACACTACCATAACAAATTAATAATAAAAATAATAATGAGGTAGATAACTTAGAATCCAGAAGACCATTCCAGTAACCTTCATACAGTACAAATGCCACATCAGGGTTTTGTTCCAGGCTTTCTCCCCTAAAAACTACAAATATATAAAGTCCAAAGGAAATGTAGGGCTCCCAAAAAGTCCCCTACTCTGGAAATATGGAAATTATTCAGTTCTGCTGTATGAGAAGTCAAAACTCACACAGGTATATGTCTTGCTGGACTGCAGCCCTGAATTGCTAAAGTGGAAATGTCGTCACACACACAAACACAGATGAAACGCCTACTTCATTTTAAATACAAATTTAGGCAGACTCCCTTCCACAAAGCGGGGATGAGGGACAGTGACTGAGAAAGATCAAAGATGCATAAATGGTGGAAAGATTTCCTTTCACTAAGGGATCTGCTTCCAAATGCCATCACCTGAGATTCTGAATGGAAACTGCAGAAACAAAGCAAAACCTCAGCCTTGCTAGGATTCGATTCCCCTTCAACAGTATGCCTCTGTCTGCATGTTGGGGTGGGTGGGTGGAAGGCAACACAGTGCCATGAAGAGTCAGCCTTTTGGCACTGTAGATGGTGCACGTACAATGATGTAGTATTTAAATAAGCAGCAGTAATCAATACAGAGTATTTAAGGTTTATAATGGACAACAGAGCGTGCCTGTTTAAAAATTCAATTTTGGTTTTTAAACAGCATTCTTCTGGGTATATCAGATTCCCATATCCAACAGGCATCATAACACTATTACATTCAAAACCACACCAAATTAAAAACCCACAAACAAACAAACAAACAAACAAAAAATAGGAACCCCTCCAAAGGATGGCATTCTAGGATATTTACCCGCATAATTATTTTCCACGTTATCAGTCGTGAATTCCATGAGTGCCATTTCCCCTTGTCCCTCCAAATTTCAAGAGATACGCTTCTGTTCTGCTCAAAGCCCCACATGGTTTCTATGTAAGCCATCTTAACAAAAGCAAATAAGCAAACAAAAAGAAGAGGTAAATGTTAGAACCTTTGGAATTTCACACTGTAAAACATCTAAGGTTTTACAGGTTTATGCTTCCCCTGTAAGAACTATCTTGCAAGACCCGCATAGAGAGAGAGAAGGATCCTAAACTGGCTTTGCTTTTGTTTTGCGCAAAACGTGGGCATGATTGTACTCTGGGCAACTCTTCCCAAGACAGGCTTAGAATCATTTGCACGTCAATAAGAAAATAAGGATACTTGAGGTGTCATCTCTTAAAAATATAATAGGAATAATAATTCCAATAGTGATTTTTAAAAATCCATTCTTGCCACCTTTCAAGCTTTCTGGTTTTTAGTTAACGGCAATTTTGTTCTCTTCCATGAAGTGAGGGAATTGGTGTTTTGGCACATTGTCTTCAGCAGTGTTGCTTGGCTTTTCCATCTCTGAGCCAATCACAGCCTGGGAACTATCCATCTTGGAAACTGTGGCAGAATTCATTGCTACATTGATTGCTGGACCTCCTGCAATTGTGGTTGGAAGAGAACGAATGCCTCCACTTTGGATCACAGAGATCTCATTGGTTTTCACAGCTAAACCATTACTGAGCACTGCAGCATACTGGTTCCATGCTGATGGATCAAGGCTCACCGAAGGAGTCACCACATCCTTGGGGAACATTTCTGATACCTTCTTTGAATCACTGCCAAGCAGAGCCATCGGGTTGTCAATGGACAGTCTTCTTCCTCGCCTGGCAGAATTGTTCCACATGTGAGTTCCAACGTGGACCTTACGGAAAAGAATGTCAAAATTATATTTCTGTGGATATGGATCTAGGCAAAACTTTGGCAAAAACAAATGGAAACTAAAGCACAGGTTCCAATGCTTGCTCCCTAACAGTGGTTGCCACAGCATCTTGAGCAAAGCTCCCTCCCTCAACTTCTACAACTCCACAATTTTGATCTGGAGAGAAGTGTGTGTATCGGGTGAGCAACCAAAGGCCCTGAGGCTGGTTTGAAGGTTCCTCTGCAGTTCAGACCTCTGGTGATAGCTAATTGTCTCTTACACAATCAGGAGAGAATGAAAAGGACTATTCCCACCCACTCTGGCCTCACCCTTTGGTAGCTTCTAGCCCTATTATCATATACTCCTTATCCATCATCCAAGGACATATAACCTCCACAGAAAAAAAATGTTGCCTATCTCTGATATGTAACTTACCCCACATGTCCTAGCAAAAAAAAAGGAAATCAGGTATGCAATTAAAGAGAAAGGAGGCAATGACATGAGTCCTTCACAAGAAAGAGAAACAAGAGATGACAACATCTCATGAATATGGCACATCCTGTAACATATGCAACAAACAAGCCTTCTGTTCTACAATGGTCGTATTCTAGGTAACATGTTGAGTTTGCTTTTCATTATTCAAAACAAATCCAAAGATAAGCTGTTAGAACATTGCATCAGATGGGAGCAAGCAGAATTTAAAACATAAACGCAGGTCTTCTTTATACATTTCTTTAAGCTCAATGTTTCTTAGAGGCAAGGGGGTAGGGAGAGATTAGGTTAACTGACTCTAATCCCCAGTCTATGCCAGCCTCACTCCCAAACTCTGCACCCTCCACGTGTGTGAACCAACTGCTCACCCTCTCAGCAAGACTAGCAGGAGAATTTAGGCACAGATCTGGAGGATGCTCAGTTTGGGAAAGGAGGATCTACTCATTCAACAGGATGAGTGCAAAGGTATTCTAGCTTACAAACAGCTAACTCCATGGGTGTAGGCACTCTATGTGTTTGGATCCCTGTACACTGAGGCCTCCAATCTCATAAGCAGATAGGTTGATAGGTGTAGATATATTGTCAGACATTTTGCAGAACATGTAAATATTGGGGCAATGTAACCTGTACACGTGGCCCATATCACCCCTGAAGGAACACTGTTCTTGGTGGCCAGCTTTGTTACTGTTATCCCTTCCTTCCATACACGCTACAGAAAAAAAAAGCAACCACATCAAGCAAGATTCTTTATGTCTCTACTTATACGGATCACCATTTCTCAATAATTTTTCCTATTCATTTGTTTGCAGTATGCAACAAGAAGCATAATGAAAAACCGTCACCAGGTTTTTTCCTCATTTGTTTTTTCGCTACTAGTATTCAATAGCTTATGAAGTTCCACACTGGATGAACTATTCTAAATCCATAAAAAGGATTGTATGATAGGAGTCAGCTAGGCCATTTTACACCCTTCATGTCAAAAATACAGAATTCTTTCATTAATTTATACCTCGTAGTCCTAGACTATTCTTTTGGAGGTTGAGGGAAAGGGACCGACCTCTAGTCAGTCTAAGAAATCTAAATCTAAATAGATCAAGATCTTTCTTTCTCTATCACACAAAAACTCCTGTAGTTTGGAAGCACTAGTCAACTATCCAGAAAGGCTTGCTGTGCATTTGAGAATCATGAAACAGCAGTAAGTTATATTGAGAATAAGAGAAATAGGAGAAGCTGTCCCTTGTCACCTGATGCCCTCCCCATGGATTGGAACTAGAAATGAATATGCTATTTGAGCATTCTGGGGGCTATAGCCCTAACAGATCTGAAGGAAACTAAGTTGGAGGGGACTGCATATACTGAATGAATGTTAAGAGCAGCAACTGCATCTGTTAGAGGAAAGGAGGCAAAGTCAGTTTTGGTAGAAAGTAAGGAAGGTGACCTTGATGGAGATATGCAGGATGTGTGGTAGGCAAAAGGGGTTGAACCATTTTTGGACCCTAACAGTCAGACTTGCAAGATTCTGCTATTATAGCCAGTCTCAATAAAAGTAGTTATAGCCTTCCTGGTGTGGTCTACCTAGTGGGGCTGGGTAGGGTGGAAAAATTGGGCTTCCACAGGGTGGAAAAATTGGGCTTTTACCACAGCCTCCAAAGCCAGTGTCTTGCAGTGCTACTCTTTCTATCTTCTACCAAATACCTGAGAAGATAATACCAGCTGAAGGGAATTCCTCAGATTTTGCACATTTCACCTACCTGTTTCACCAGGCTACTGAGGACTCCCAGCCTAGGACTTCCAAATCCTAAGACCAACAGTGAAAGAGGAGCTAAACACACATATCACTGCCTTCAGTTTGCTCACCTTGAGGTTCCCCTTTGTGGTAAAAGCTCTTCCACAGATGGTGCATGCAAATGGCTTTTCACCTGTGTGAGTCCGCTCATGGATCTGAAGAGCACTTGCTGAAGAGAAGTTCTTACCACATGTAGTGCAGATATGCTGCTTAGCAGTACGGCGAGGGGGTGGCACCAGAAGAGGAGGCACACTGGGTGACAATGCAGGAGGGGCAATAAAATGGCTCGTGCTGATGGGGCGATCACTAGACATCTCCATTTTTATAAGAGCTGGTGGGGCTCTGATAAATGATGGGTGGATGCTGCTCCGGCCTGAAGAATAAAAAGATAAGTGTATGTTGGTGTATGGCTTGTGCCGCAAGTTCCATAAAAATCATCCAAGCCCAATTGTATTGTTAAAAACACAGTTGAGTGAATACGTGCAAGTCATAAGGTCATATGCTGAGGACAGAGAAGACCTGATGGAGATGAAAATAATTCAAAATGTGTGGGATGAAGACTTGAGGAATATATACTTTGACAGTTATGGGGTGTACACTTATCCCAGCAAAGCCTCTAGATCAAGGCTGGCTGGGGAATTCAGGGAGTTGAAGTCCACACATCTTCAAGTTGCCAAGGTTGAGAAACACTGCTCTAGATGGAACAGATTGTTGATAGGACGTCAAACCCCGAGAGACTGGCAAGTTCAAGAAACAAGATCCGCTGTGCCCTGATCAAGTAACCTTACTTAATACTTAACTGTTTTGGACCCTATCTGAACAAAGGTGTCATTTTTTATACAACAAAAAATAGACAAACAACTCAGACATTAATTTTGCAGTGTGTGGTATCTTCCAGTCTGTTTACCTGGGCACAATCTTCCATTCTGCACTGGAAACTTGATTCATATGTAGGGATATCTCTACGTATTCCGAGATGGAAGTGCGGGGGGTGGGGAAGGGAGGGCTGGGGCTGTTCTTATCCTACTCACATTGCCTGGAATCTAGCCTCAGGAAACAAATGGTCATGAATTCAGAGCATTTTAAGAGAAAGCCATTGCATTTAAGGTTGTTGCTGCAGCCGTAACAATCCACAAACACTTCCATTATCAAATGAAGACAGGAGTTCTGGGCGCTTCAAATATAAGGCTTTGCAGATACGACTTCGCTCATTTGTTGACTTGGTGCACAGAAAGAGGGGAGAGGTTGTCCCCTAGGCCCCTAATCATGTGGGGTGCTGCAGGGTTCAATGTTCTCTCCCCTCTTTTTAACACCTTCATGAAGCCTCCAGTTTGGGCTTCAGTATCATCAATATGCTGATGATACCCAATCATATCTTTTGACCCCAGGCCTGCCAGGTGAGGCCACTGGAAGTCCTGTCCCAGGGCCTGGAGGCTGTGAAGGCCTGGATGGGGAGAACCAGCTATGACTCAATCCTACCAAGATTGAGTGGCTGTGGATATTAGACCCCCCTGGATTCAAGGACTTTCCACACATACTATTGGATGGGGTAGCATTTCAAGAGTCGTGCACAATTTGGGGGTTCTGTTGAACTCACAGCTTCTGCTTGAAGAGCAGGTGGCTGCTGTGGCCAAGGGGGCCTTCGCTCAGCTCCTTCTGATATGCCAGTTGGACTTCCTTCAGCAGTCGCTAATGCCCTAATCTCCTCAATGCACTCTATGTGGGGCTACCCTTGAAAATCACTCAAAGGCTTTAGTTGGTCCAGAACACAACAGTGCAGGCAATGATGGGCATTCCTTGGTATGCCCATGTGACACCTCTGTTCTATGAGCTGCACTGGTTGCCAGTCTGCTTCTGAGGTGCGATTCAAGATGCTGGTTATGACCTATAAAGCCCTACATGGCATAGGGCCAGGTTACTTGAGGGACTGCCTATCTCCCATGACTTCTATCCAGCTGGTATATGCCAGCAGAGTTGGCATGCTGTGGGTCCCTTCAATTAAACAATGCCATCTATCAGGACCCAGGAAGCGTACCTTCTCTGGCACCTGCCTTTTGGAATGAGATCCCCCCCTGAAATCCATGTGGCTCCCTCCTTCTTGGCATTCTGTAAAGCCTTGAAGACATGGTTGTTCTTCCCGGCCTTGGAGTAAGATAGATAGGGCCCCAGGTTTTTCATTTCTGTTTGTATATTGTGCCTTCTTGTTTTGGGGTTGTACTGGTTTTTATTTTACTATGTGAACCACCCAGAGTCAGTTGGAGCCGGGTGGTGTCCAAATTGAATTAAATAAATAATGAATTAAATACATTGTGCTAAACCACAGAGTAGTACAGGCAGTCCCTGGGTTAAGAACATCCAAGTTACGGACAACTCATTCTTATGAACAGGCTTCCTGTTACTAAAAATGGTGGAGCATGTTCTCCTTCCTGGAGCCAATGAACCACTGAAGCCACACGATGTTTTCATGAACTGCTGAAGCTGAGCATTTTTAATATACAGACTGTTTTCAACATTTTCAGCAGTTCATGAAAACATTGTGTGGCTTCAGTGGTTCATCAGCTCCAGGAAGGAGAATGCCATCTGCCATTTTTAGTAACAGGCAGCCCATTCGTAAGTATGAGTTCCGACTTACACAAATTCAAGTTAAAGACAGAACTTAGGAACAGAACTCATTCTTAACCTGTGGACTGCCTGTACAGATAGACCTGCTCTTCCACTTCATACCAGCTAAGTATCAATCATGGAGATTTTTTAAAAGCTGAACAGAGCTTCTGAATACACCACAATAGCCTAATCTTTTCTGAACCCATCTTTCCTCCAAACTGAAAAAGCCATAACTCACATTTCACACTGCTAGGTTCAGCACAGAATACTTAATTCATTATCAGAATGCTCGACCAGGACCTAGGCTAGGACTAGGGAAGCCCAGTTTAAGTCCCCAGCCAGCCATGAAGTTCCCTGAGCTCAACATGATAAATGGTAAACTCAATCTGCTCAATTTTTCATCAGACTATAATTTTGTGCAGATATCTTTTTTTTTTCTGACTGGAATTTTTATGAACCATTTCAGTTGTTCAAGAAAAGCTTGAGGAAAATATAAAGGAGGGGAGGGGAAAGTAAACTGAGATAATAATTTGAATGGATGCATCATTTTTTTTTAATTAGGGGACCCCCTCAAATGCCCATTCATCTCTTAGGTTCACCCTAGGAATGTATGGTTAAGTGCACTAGAGCACCCAGTAAGATTCAAATCAAATTGATTCAAAACTTTACTGCAAATGTATTTTCTGAACAGATCTGAAAAATAATTGAACTTACTTAGAAGCACCAAATTGAATCTGACCATATGATCTGAATCAATGATCTTACTCAGAAAAATCAGTTCTAATGGAAATTTAAACTTTGAATCAAATCTTTCCACGGCCTTAGTTCACACATCACACTAAGCCATAGTTTGTTTAATTATAGTTTGTTGAATAAGATATTACTGACTGGATCCACTCCTAACAATAAGTCATAAACCACAGCTTACAATCCATGAACATTAAGTTCACACATTGGTCTAAGCCAAAACCAAACCAACCACATTATGGCTTAACATGCTACGTATATGAACCAAGTCACTGTTTACACTTAGGAACATGTATTTTCCAGATATGAGTATTAGCTACCAAGCAAACTGTACAAGTTAGAGGAAAGAAAAATACCCATATATCCTATTTTACAGAGGACAGTTCTTTGTTGGAAGGACTGTCATTCTTCATTTGAAGGGCTACCTGCTTGCTAAGTCTAGTTAAAGAGAGAACAAGAAGAGTCTTGTAGTTAGCCATCAATGTCTAACAACTAGATGCCAGATCAACATCTTCCTCACCCTGGTGGGATACATTAGAACATGGTGTATAAATCAGAACACATGTATTTTCTGCGTATCAGAATCTGCTTTTGCTCTCATTTTGGGTGGGTACCTTTCCTCTTTTGGTGACGCATAAAAAGCCACCCTTCTGAAATGAGAATTTCTCAAGATTCCTACTTTGATTTATAATTCCGTATCATGTAGGGTGAGAAGCCAGAATGTTGTCTGGATAATTTGGTCACAGTTCCCATCCCATCCCACCCTGCACGCAAGGCCAACATAACTACCTGGAAAAAAGAGAGTTAATAATTCAAAACATCCACATGATGCCAAGTTGAGTAGCAGTACTTTCCCACTTGTTCCTACAGCTGTGAGTTTTATTTTAAGTGGTTTTAAGAAAAAGAAAACTAGAGAATTTTCTTGCCTAGGAAATTAATCCACATTTACCTGTCTTTCATAAAGTGAATTCTATATTATACATTGTCTAGCTAGGCTGACTTCAGATTTAATATTGCTGCCCCTGAAAAACATGGCAGAGACCAAGGCAGGGAAGGGAATAATACAGCCATGCAAACAGGATAGCTACTGATTACTTACTTTGCTCACCTCTTTGGTGAGAGATATGGAGTTTTTTTTAGATTTCAAGAGCAATTGATTTTGATCAAATAGGTAGGTGTCATTTTTCACAGTCAATACTCCTGCAAGTAATAGGTACTAGAGAAAAACATGGCGATTGGGGTGGTGAATGGAACTCAGGTTTATCAACTAAAGCTTTCTGGCCTGGGAGGGTCGTGGCATAGACAGCAAACATTTAACTCCACCCATATATTTAAAACACAATAATTTCACAGTAATTGCTAGGATTTTTGCTTCCCTTCTAAGTGACTCACCGTATTCTCCATTTGGGAAGTATAACCCAGGTTCCTCTTTGATCACCTTTCGACCAATGTTACTGTATGTTAGATCCAAAGCACGCTCTCTTTCTGTGGGTGGGACTTCAGGACCTTCAGCCTTACTTCCCGCTACCCCATCTTCTTGGATATTAAAACATGGTGACTTTGATCTGGTGCTCTCTGCCTGACTGTTGGTTGGAGACATGGCTAGAAAGGAAGCCGATTCAGAGGTGATGGGGCTACGGCTACCATTTTGATAGTCCAGATCACCTGCTACTGAGGAAGAATCATTGGTCATGCCATCACTCTCTGCTGATCCGTTATCACTGGACTTCAAACTGCTCTGCCGCTGTAAAGTCAAAGCTGAATTCACCATTTTCATCTGGTTTTCTAGCACTGAAATACCGGAAGGCACAGATGTTGAAGGATCAGTCTGAGCACTGAAAGGTTTAGAAGAATGGCTTAGACCATTTGGTGATTCCAGGTCTCCGTCCACTTCCATGCTTTCCACGTTACTCTCTAAGCAACAGGGATCTCCATTTTTCTCAGCTGAAGTAGCCTCTGTGTCATTATCAGGTGTGTTTTCTGCCACTGGGGTATTGGGGATCTGCCCCCCCATATGCATACGGATGTGCTGCTGCAGCACCACTGCATTTGTAAATTTCTTTTGGCAGATGGGGCAGGAGTGCTGCATCTTCAGGGGGGTATTTGCACGGTGCACGCCATAATGCGTTTTGAGGTTGCCTTTGGTGGAAAAAGCACGGCCACAAATCTTACACTTGAAAGGCCTCTCGCCCGTGTGAGTGCGGTAATGCATTTTGAGGGAGCTCTGGCAACTGAGAACCCTATGGCAGATCAAACACTCATTGGGGTCAGCTGTGGCTTTGTCAATGTTCTCCACCAATAGCTGGAGCTTTGTTGTTTCAGAGCCTTGCTCACCAACCTGGCATCCGTGGAAAGCACTCCCACTGCAGCCGGCCTGCGGAGAGCCCTGGTTCTGTTCAGCTCCTGATTCGTGACTGGCTGCGCCTGATGAAGAATCTCCTTCACTTTCTGGAGAAGGCCGAGGCTGGACATCACTCAGAAGTGAACTGGAAAAAGGATCCTTGCTACTTGTGGGGTTGGAAGCGTTTGGTGGTAAGACAGGGCCTACAGAGCTAGGCAGGGTGGTCAAAATAGGTTTGGAATCCACAATAAGGTTAGATTCATCTAATGGGACAGACATCCCATAGGGTATGCCAGTGCTGGTGGGCACGTTATCTAGGTGTTCAGGCACAGGATAAGGATTCATTTTGATATGAGGGTATTTGTCTTTATGCCTCTGGAAATGCACTTTCAGATTGCCTTTGGTGGTGAAACGATTGCCACAAATGTTGCACTTGTAGGGCCTCTCCCCAGTATGGGAACGGAGGTGGATCTGCAGAGCGCTGTCGTTGCCGAAGACCTTGCCACAGAACTTGCACTTGTGTTTGAAGAAGGGCTCCTCCACACTTGGTTTACTTTCAGAGACACTGACATTTGATACTTTCCCTTTCCCCTTCTTCGAGGGGTCGATGGCTGGGGAGACAGTGGGAAGGGGATTCTGGAAGATGACTGAGCTGGATGACTGAGGTAGCAAAGGGCTCAGAAAGCGAGACATGGAGCCTGGCAAGCCTCGACTTGCATCAGGCTTCAAGGAGAGGGCAGGAGCAAGCCCACTGGCCATCGAGACGGCTGTCGGAATACCAATACTTGAATGAGGTAGTTTGACTTGCTTCAAGGATTCCAGGGATAGGCTTGGATTCCCAGCTTTCTGCCCAATTAAAGCAACAGCAGCTGACAGCTGCTGGGACATATGAGCACCCAAAGCTTTGAGGGGTTCTGCAGCAGCAACTGAAGGATGTAGGACATTGGGGGCCATCATGGCAATTTGGATGCGGATCTGTTCTGTAAGCTGGAGTTGCTGGAGTTGCTGCTGCTGTAGGCACATCAACTGCTCCAGTATCATTGGAATGGCACTGAGGCCAGCCACGGATGGGGAGAGAGACTCTGAGGTACACTGGTTGACAGCCACTTTAGTGCCACGTATAGTTTGCAAAGTCACATTAGTGTTTGGTACTTTGGGTTTGGGGAGGAAGCTTAGCCCATGAGCTGTGGGGGCAACAGAGGGCTCTGTTTTTAGATATGTCACTCCTGAAGGTTCAGATCCAGCTTTCTCTTCTCTCTTTTCTGCAGAAGTAGGGCAGCTCTTTATGTGACTCTCCTCAGCCAACCTACCCTCCATTTGGCTCGTTGGAAAAGTCCCCATAGAGCTGTCAGGGAAGGCTTCTAAGGACACTGCCCCCTCACTGTCGTTCATGATGAGGACAGGTGGTGTTTTAGTGCAATTTTTCTTATGCTCAAGAAATTCAGAGAGGTCAAAGAACTCAGCACAGCATTTCTCACAGACATGGGTTTCTTCTGTTCGACATCTTTTGGAATTCATTTCACCTCTGTCACCTGGGATATCTTGTGGACTTCCTAGAAAGACATCAGAAAGAGAGAAAGATCTGAGAGGCCTTACACCACTGACAGCATAAGCAAGAGGCCTTTGTGGGATGACTTTACGGGATAGAAATACACAGATCTGTACATTCTTTTATCCAAATACAGTTTCCATGCCTGCTGTAGATTAAAGCAATTCGAGTCCCTGTGAATTATACTAGGATAAAGACAAGTCTATTAGATGGGTGAATTGCTTTCCAATACACCATTTCTCCTGGCAAGCCTCCTAAATAAGGGTGAGGCTGTCTTTGTGACAGTGGCAAAATTGGCTGCCCACCATTTTGATTTCCCATAGTGTTTGAATCTAGTACTGCTTATGAAGTAGCTACACGCTCAGGACAACATCTATGACAGCTTTTGCCAATTTGACCATCTCCAGATTTGATGGGATTGTAGAATTTCCCATTAGCTTGGATAAGACCCTCCAGCTGGGAATTCTGGAACTTGCAGTCCCTTGCTTCTGTTAAGGTGTGTGATGGATTGTGAGGGTGGCCTTGGAAGTCAGGGGAAAGAGATGCCCCCCAAGGAACCATCAGATTAAAGAGAAAGGAGACTGCAACAGGGTAACGGTCAAAGATAGAAATTTAGGAAAGACCCGCCCTAACTACTCAGGCAGTAAATAGGGAGGGCGGGAGACTTGTGTTTTCAGACTTGCAAGATTCTGTGAATATAGCCTTACAATAAAGTAGAATTAGTTGATCTAGTCTTGTTTCCTGTCTGGTTTACCTGGGAGGGCTGACATCAGTTGTGCTGCTGCGGGCTGAGGTAAATTCTGCCCCAGTTGCTGTGTTAGTTGTAGCATGGCATTCTGTAAATTAGTCATCTGCATGTCTACTTGCTGCTGGTGCTGCAACAACGCTGCTGCCAGATGTTCTGTGAATAGCAGAGTTCCTTGAGGAACAGAGGCCATTTTCAAAATTCAAAAAGTAGGAGACTTTCAAGATCGATGTCAGCCCTCCCAGGTAAACCAGACAGGAAACAAAACTAGATGAACTAATTCTACTTTATTGCAAGGCTATATTCACAGAATCTTGCAAGTCTGAAAGCACAAATCTCCCACTCTCCCTATTTACTGCCTGAATAGCAAGGGCGGGTCTTTCCTAAGTTTCTTTCTTTGACCGTTACCCTGTTGCAGACTCCTTTCTATTTTATCTGATCATTCTCTAGGTGGCATCTCTTTCCCATCTTCCAAGGCCACCCTCACATTCCATCACAAGATGTCAAGCTGAGGGAGGGTGATTTTTGAGAGGCAGCAGCAACCACTAAAATACCATCAGTTTTAGGAAACCTAAATGTGAGTCTTCTGAAATAAATTGGAAAAGCAATTTCCTTGCAAGTAGCCCTACAGATTACACAAGCATCTTCTAACTTTGAATGGAATAGAATCCAGATGCTAAGTGAAAGGAAGCCCAAATCATTCAAGCTTCCCCAAACTATTTTTCTGATATTGCTAGGCGACCACTGAACTTAGGATTTCATTTCAATTATTTGGTATACATATGAAACAATATTGTGGGAAGCACTCCCTGTGTCTTGTAGAGGGAGAGAGGTAGGTGCACTTTCTACCTCTGCAAGAAGAGATGGACATAAATGCACATGCTAGATCTCGGAAGCCATATTGCTTTGTCATGTTATATATGGTAAGAATCCCATTGTGAGATTATGCAATAATTTCACCAAGTTAGTTTTTCTTATGAATGCTCCCCCATGTGGCAAAATTAATATTTTCATTATCAGAAGAAGGCTGAAGAATCTGTAATCAAACTGATAGGACAAATACCAATGGTTATGACGGGGGAAATGCTCATAAGAAAGGATTGCTGCATGAAGTAAATAGGCTCATATCTTGGTCTTTGTGACACAGTAAGGGCTGAAAGAGCACTATACGTACCACGGACATGTATAGTTCTTAGAGAAATGGTGCTGCAATAAAATATGTCCTCTTCACATTGAAATTCACACTCAATGAATTTGCAAGGAATGTATGGATGGGGTTCTGGCCCTGTTTTGTAGGATTTTAGAGGTATAAAATATTTGGGGGGGAAAAAACCCATGGGAGGACACCTTAAAACTTAGGGAACACAAATGGAACTAAGTGTTTGGCACCTTAAATGCAGCACTCTGTGCAGCCGTATTTTCTTACTGATATCAGAACTGAACAGCTAGTAGGAGCAAACATGTGATCCAAGAGAGTGCGCTACGCAATACCAACCGCAGCAGCCCACGCCCCTCCAGCCGAAGATAATTACATATTCATTTTGTGTTTATCCTGGTATTTCTCAAAAGATCTTAGGTAGATGCAGGATCCTTTTCTTATTCTCAGTTGCATTCTCCTTGTGAGAAAGGTGAAACTGGGAGAAAGCGAAGTAGGTCAGAGTTGGGGTATAGACTCTATGTGAATTTGATCTTCAGTCTCATTCAGCTCGCAACACGCAACACACAGCACCATTCTTTTGGCAACTGATGCTGTTGCCTTCAGTCTTGGAAGAACAGCTTGTACCCTTCCTCAAGCAAATAGAGATCCTGCTGTCTTCTATTCTACTAATAGAAGTATTGGCAACCGATGGTTCACATGAAGCTCCCTAGCTGCTAGAGCACCCCCAACATAGTAGTGTCGGATTTTATTATTTATTTATTTATTTATTTGCATTTTTGATGGCAAAACAAGGGGCAAAAAATTGTTTTAAGACCAGCAATTCATCTCCAAAACCCCAATACGTCTACCTAAAAGAGTTGAAATTTTAATGTCACCACATCATATCCATGGCTTCTGTAGCCCTCAAAGACTGAAAAATATTTAAAACTCAGAATGCAGTCCTAACACTAAATGTTTGCTTGCTTCTGGCAAATGATCACCAGGTTCTTCCTATGCTCCTACTTTTCCAAACTTTTATCCTTCTTTCAATCATCAGTGTTCTTGCTTTTACAGTGGTACCTCTACTTATGAACTTAATCCGTTCCGTAACTCTGATCGTAAGTTGAGTTGGTCGCATGTCGAGGTAAATTTTCCCATAAGGTTCAATGTAAATACGGTTAATCCGTTCCGCCCTCCAA